TCCTCTGCCTGTGTTCCTGGCTTTTATCCCCTTTCTCCTGCTCTCCTTGTCAATTTCCAAAAATACATATACATATACATACATATTTTTGTTGTTGTAGTTGTTGTTGTTGTTGTTATGTACTGTCGAGTCAGACTGGACTCATAGCAACCCCTCCTTGGGTTTCTGAAGCGGTATCTCTATGGAAGTAGATTGCCCAACCTTCATAGGGATCGCTATGGGTCAGGTCCAACTTGACGACACATACAACAACAACAATCAATATCACATTATGTTACATTAGCTTTATACCTAAATAGTAAGTCTTCAGTTTATTGTTTTGCTTACAGATAAATATTTTTTATTTTAATTTTACTCTTTACATTTCTATATGAAGTTTAGAATTACCTTGTCAATTTCCAAAAGTTAAATTTTTTTTTTAAAAAAAGCTTGCTTGACTTTTAATTTAGTCAACATTGAATCTAAAACTTAACTTGGAGAGAGAATTGACATGTTTATATATTTTTCTGTTACAGTGGTGATATCTATTTATTTGCATCTAATTTGTAGATTTTAATAGAGAAAGCTTGCACGTCTTTCAATAAATTTCTTTATTTTTATTTGAAAGGGTATGCATACTAAATGGTATGTTAAAATATTAATTTAATACTTGTTTATTAAGGATATATAGAAATACAAATGCTTTTATTTTAAATGTTTTCAGTTGTAAATCCCACATACAATGAGTTCACTTCAGGCCTGGGTATTGCCCTCAAAATTTGTCCAAGGCTTTCTTTCCTGTTCTGGAGGGGGTTGCTTATGTCTGAGCTGGCATTCAGAGGAAGCACAAGCAGAATTTTCTCCATATAAGGAAAAGGAGTGGCTGGCACTCCCCATTCAGACCTCCAAAATATCTGTCTTGTAAGTTTCAGAGCCCCAGCAGAAGCAAGTTGGTTGGAGAAGCAAGTTAAAAGGTGGAGGGAAGATGCCTTTTTGATTTCACAGCCATATCCGTAGTATATTGACTATAGGAGCAGGGTCCACTCAAAGCCCTTGCTTCCTAGCTGACAGCATTTGCAATCAGTAGTTCTTAACACTGACTGGAAGTATATGTGCGAAGACAATTAGAAACAAACTGACCCCCAGGAAAATATGCCCTATTGATTTCAGAAGCCTGATCTATTGGTCATCTATTGTACGTAGGCATGGAGAGAGCTGGCTGTGGGAGTAAACTCTACTGCAGGGACACTTCTGTAGTAATTTGTAGTAGTCTGGTAACTGACAGTTACTGAGTGGAGGAGGGACTAGCATGCTTAGTATGGGCCCCCAGAGAGGTCTATCTTGTTGATTTCAGAGCCCCATCTGTAGGATGTTGGCTATGGGAGCATGTGCCACTCAAGACACTTGCTTTGTAGTTTATAGCAGCCTCATCAGTTCTCAGGATTGACCAGAAGTGGGTGAAGATAGACCCAAAATGATCCCCAAGGATATTTGTCCTGTTTTTTGAGGTGTTTGTTGTATGGATACACATGCAGGCCAGGTGCTGATTGAGGGAACAAGTTCCACTTAAGGGGCTCTTCTGCATAAACCTAAAGCAGCCTGGCAGCTGACAGTTGCCAGGATAGATAGGAGCTGGTATTCTCAGAACAGACCTCCTGTGAAGTCTACCTTGTTCATTTTAGAGCAGAATCTTAGGATCTTTTCTCTGCATAGACAATGGGTGTGGTGGCTGGGAAAGCAATCTCCTTTCCTGGGACTGCTTCCCCAGTTCACAGGAGCATTCAAACTACATTTCTGGGGGAGGCACAGGGAGAGTGAAAGAAGCAATTTTCCTACCTTATGTGATTCTTTCTTATTGACTCATCTCTAGTTCTCTATTGCTGTTCTCTGCTGCCTGACTCAGAGTCAGGGACTCAAAGTCCCACAAGGCTGAGGATCATTTTCTTGTTGTATTTGTAGAGACAGTGAGAATGATGATATGTTTACACCACCATCTTCCTAGAATCCACAGGAGCTATTTTCAAATATAATGACACGAAGTTGACCCAGAGAATCACTGAATACTAAGCACTAAACCAAAAACAAACCGATTGCTGTTGAGTCAGTTCCAACTCATAACAATGTTCTATTAACTATTTTCTATTTATTCCCTTCCTTTGCAGTCCATACATTTGTGGATGAGATTCTGTTACGTGTTATAGGAAGTTTTGTGACTGGAATTATAAGTTCAAAAATACTCCAACTTTGGATGGCAACTATTTTTGAAGATGACGTCAATCATATAAGTCTCAGCTTTTCAATTTTATACCTCGTCTTTTATCTTTGTAAGTGAGGGTCCTAACCCTAATATTAAATTACACAGAAGATTACAAACAAAATTATGGAAAATACCTGCCAAGGAAAAAACAGTTAAAAAAACATGTAACTTTCAATTGAGCTACAAGGAATATTTTTGTTGACATAATCTATTAAAAGAGGTCCCGGACATCAATAGCTACACTACACAAAAACAGTGCATCAAAATATGCAAAGCTGGTATTATTGGAAAAGAAATAAGTATGGTTATAAAAATTTAAATAATTTGTATGCTTGGTTTATAAGATATATAAAAAAATTTTGCCTGTCAAAGCAGAATGAATATAATTTATTCAGACCTATAAATCCTTTTAGGAACCTTGATGGCATAATGGTTAAAGCACATGGCTGCTAACAAAAAGGCTAATGATTCAAACTCATTAGCCACTCTGTGGGAAAAAAGACCTGGTCATCTGTTCCCATGAAGATATCAGCCTAAGAAACTCTATGAGGTAGTTTTCCTCTGTCCTATAGGGTCACTATAGGAATTGACTTGATGAGACACAACAACTACATAGACCCTTTATAAAAATGAGCTAGAATAAAATAATATTTCAATAAATTCAAATATTTGTGACTCTTGAAGACATACTGTTCAACCACAATGCAATGTACTTCCATAGTGACACTGCCTCAGAAACCAGAGGACGGGTCACTATGAGTTGGATCCGACTCGATGGCAGTGAGAATTAGTTTAATAGCTAAGCAAAGGAGAATTTTAAACAAATAAATGACATAACTGCCTATGAGTCAATTATACTATTCTGGGTAACTCATATCAAAAATGACATCAAAAGAGAAGTTACAAATTAAATAGAGCTAAACATTATTGTATCTGTTGGTATGATTAATCCATCACTTCATCCTCACAGAATTATCACAGATACTGATAATATGCCATGTCACTGTTCATGAACAGCCTCAGAATCATATTCAACACAGCCCTCCAGACAGCCCAACACATGATTTGCAATTGGCATATGAAATAATACTTATTTACCAAAGCTATACTATTTGTCTTTCCATTACTTTTAGGAATAAAACATTGGTGCCTTTCTCACATTCATCATTAAAAATAGTTCTGCAAGCTCTAGCTAATTCAATAAGGGAAAAAAAATTACACATATTTTGAGAGAGAAAATTGTTACATCATTTGCATTATGGTAGATTATATAGGCAAACCCAAGGCAATTAACTAATAATCTAAATCAGCAGTTTTTAAAATAAGGTATTTATATGTGCTATAAAAACGTCCATATACATTATAGAGCTAACAGAAACAAAATTAGAATAACTTCTTTACTAAAACCAAGTACCTTGAAGGAGTGAGTCAATGGGCCTGAAGGCTTGGAACCATGGTTGTGGGGATCCCAAGCTCAATTGGCACAACATAGCATCCAAAATCATTGTTCTACATCCTAATTTGGTGAGTAACAACTGAAGTCCTAAAAGCTTGTGAGCTTTTAGATAAGCTATAAGATGCAACTATTGGTCCCTCCTCATCCAGAGCAAAGAAGAGTGAAGAAAATCAAAGATGTGTGGAAACAATTAGTCCAAAGACTAAATAGACCCTCAGAACTTCAGCTTACACAACCCTGAGACTAGAAGTACTAGATGGTGCCCAGCTAGCAATGCCAACCACTCGGAAAGGGATAAAAAGTGTAGATCCTGAACAGACTGGGGAAAAACAAGTGGAACAAAATTCAAAACATAAAGTAGACCAGGATTACTGTCAGATAGAGACTGGTGAAACCTCTAAGACTAAGGCCCCAAAGTTACATTTTGGGCCTGGAATTAAAGTCATTCCTATGGCTCAACTCAGCCAAACAGTAGGCAGGCCTATAAGCTGAACCACTACACCAGGGAGATGCAATCCTTAGAACATACAGCCATAGGAGATCAGAAAAGCAGCATTTGCACAGGGAGAAAGCTAGTCAGGCAGAGATGTATAGACAAGAAGGATGTGGAGAAAGGATAACCACAGGGAGGAGGTGAGAGAGTTGTTACATTGTGGAAATTGTAATCAGTGTCATGAAACAAAATGTATATGAGCTGTTGAATATAAAATGAATCTGCTTTGTAAAACTGAACCTAAGTCACAATAAAAACTTAAAAAAAAAATTTTTTTTAATAGAATAACTTGATACAGGACAAAAATACAAAAAAAATGAATTATTTTCTTACAAATTATCAGTAACTAGTTACAAATTATTAAGAAAAATTAATTTTTTTCATGTTAATACAATGTTATAAAACAACAAAGATTTTGGGTCTAAAAATAGAAATTTGAAAGTTAACTGAGAAACATAAAATTAGAATAAATTGAGGCAGCAAAACTCCTTCTTAGAAATGCTAGAATGGCAAGATTCTTGACTGTCAGTCTAAGGTAGGAAATGCCGAATGCAAGATTGTGGGATGTAGTACTTAAAGTTGTATATCAACAGGGCTGGGCCTGGTTTTGAGTAGCCAGGCAGCTGGATGCAGTTATTCCCCATGAGGAGATTGTAATCACCTCCATGGTGCAATCTGCTGTGAGCAGCTAAATAGTTGCCTTCGGGGTGTGGACTGACTCCAGTATATATGGGGAAGCTTTGAGGCACACCATTTGGCCCGTCTGGATTGTGCACTTGGCTGGGTCTTCATCTCAGTGGCCTGCCATGTTGCTTGCTGATCTGGGGATTGTTCCTGGATTTGAACTAGTGACCTGAAGTATTGACTGCTAATCTTGGGACTGAGCCAAGTTACCTATTGATCTTAGATTCACCTGCCTCAGCAGCTAGCAGCTGCATGAGTCCGAAAAAGCCTCTAGCTTTTTAATGGGCCTGGAACAGGGGGCAGAACTGAAGCCCAAGGTCCAGGAGCTTTCACCTAGCCTATGGGGCTGGCACTTTAAGCGCAGACTTCTAGGCTCCTAAACTGTAAAAAAATAAATCCCTATTTGTTAAAGCCATCCACTTGTGGTAAGTCTGTTATAGCAGCACTAGAGAACCAAGGTATGGGGCTTCCTAACTATTCAGTGGATTAAAGCCAATTATAACCTAAAGAGTTTACAGAGTCAGGTTAATGGGTTAACAGATAGTAAGAGAACATATGCTCTTCTGGGACAATTAGAACTCTAAAGGGTGACATACCAGCCTTCTTTTCCCGAAATATTTTGTGAGCTCCATTTTGTTGCCAATGGACTGAATCCAAAGCAATGCAAGGATGTCTAGAATAACCTTTACTGCAGATTTGGTTATGAAGCTACAGAAAAACAAAGAGCAAGAACAACAACAAAAAAGACAGGTTTTGGTAATTTTTAATTTGTAATGTTTTTCAGATTAAGTGGTGTAGCCTTTCTATAAAGTCACTACCCTTTTAAGATATCTGTTATTACCTCTCTGATAAAACTTGTGCTGTTCTTGATGTTAAAACTATGTCTTTATTTCTTTCTGAAAATAGGTGAGTTAGCTGGAATGTCTGGAATATTTACTCTGGCCATTATGGGATTTTTTTTAAATTCTACAAGTCTTAAACCAGGAGTTGAACCACTTCTTATTGAGTGAGTGGCTAGCATATTTTCACTTGTTTCATGTATCAGCAGCTATCATATTGTAATAGAACCACATGCACACCTACATAGTGAAAGGATGATATTGACTTGAAAACTACCCAACTGTAAGCTCTTCCTAAAAACTGTTCCAGCAGTGCCTCAATTCTCTAATTTTAGGCAAAATTTGTAACCTTGCCTTGAACTGATGTTGGCTTTATTTCCTCACTAATTCCTCAAGTCTCTGACCATTTACCCAGCAAATTCAAGGGTATATGCCATATCCACTAGACAGGGAGGGAGCTCTGGTAGCATAGTGGCTAAGGCACTTGCCTGCTCATCAGACGGCTGGCGGTTCAAACCCACCAGCCACTCCTCGGAAGGAAGGTTGGGCAATCCTACTTCCGTAGTGATACTGCCTCGGAAACCCAAGGAGGGGTCGCTATGAGTCAGGGCTGACTTGACAGCACATAACAACAACAACTAGACAGGGACAGGATCAGCATAATACAAGGGAGAATTTGCCTCAGGGACAAAATTTAAGAAGATGACAAAAAAATTTGGTAATCAAGATAAACATTTTGATTCAGTATTTTAAAAAATTGAAAATATTAGCCCAAATCCATGGTGAACAAAATATCAAAATTATAAAGACAGGATCAATACTACTGACCGTGTCTTTTGCCTCAGGCTCCCATGTGGCTCAATGTAGAACTGCTACTGGGATGGAAGACCAGTATCTTAAGGATGATGAAGAGATGAAGGGGGCAGATGAAGAGACACCACCCAAAAGAAATTTAAAAATTAAGCTAGGGCATTTGAAGAGGGTTTTCATGTTAAAAAGAAAATATGGACAATTAAATGTAAACAAAGCTATGGGCACCATTATGCAAATTGTGACCTGCTTGACAGCACCCAGCTGAGGGGGGAGTGGACACTATGTCAGTCTAGAGGAAGGACACTTTCTATAGTGCCCAGCACACAAGTGGGAACTTGATTTAAATCACACAATGGCAATATATATGATAACAAAGGCCCTGAATGTAAGCAATGGTTTTGGGGGCTAGGGAGAAGATTAGAGAGGCTAGAAAGTCAAAATTCAGAAATTTCAGGGTATAGAATCTTTCAGAATTCTGTAGCACTTCCCCAAGATGTCATATCAGTTACAATGGATGTTTATTTCACAAGCAGCTGTTGTCCTTTTAGGTGCTGTGGAGTTGGTTCTGACTCACAGTGACCCTGTGTACAACAGAATGAAACACTGCCCTGCTCTACACCATCCTTTCAATTGTTGCTATGTTTGAGCCCATTGTTGCAGCCACTGTGCCAATCCATCTCATTGAGGACCTTCCTCTTTTTCACTGACACTCTGTTTTACCAATCATGATGTCCTTCCCCAAGGACCAGTCCCTCCCCAAGGACCAGTCCCTCCTGATAACATGTCCAAAGTATATGAGATGAAGTCTCACCATTGTCACTTCTAAGGAACATTCTGTCTATATTTCTTCCAAGATATGTACTTCTGGCAGTCCATGGTATATTCAATATGCTTCATCAACACCATAATCCAAACGTATCAACTCTTCTTTGGTCTTCCTAGTAGCTAGACAGAATTAACTGAGCCAGTTGTAAGAAGAATTTAGGTAATAAATTTTGTAAGGAAATGTTTAAATGTCTTTAAGGAAATGTTACTATATCTTTGGAAAGTGAAATGCTTCACCTTCTTGCTCTGACAACTGGCTTTCTTCCCCTGAAGACATTACCTCTCTTTCATTTTTTATAAGCTGAAGTGTCTTTCTCGCCTACATGCCCTGTCCATCCTAGAAGTAAGCAGGTGGTCTCTCCATTCATCAATGCCATTTCTAAGTCACATTTTCTCCTTCCGCGGAAGAATCCAATTTTGAAATTCATGACATCTGCCGTCTTCTTGGTGGTTGAGGTTATGTATAAAAGCCTGAGTCACAGTCTTCATTTTGTGAAAGTTTTGGCTGCCGTCTCACTCTATCACCATTCTTAGTGATGTCAGTATCCCACGGTTGATTCCTCCATCGCCTCACTTCTTCAGTTCCTTGGTTTCCTGTCCTCCTACGAGCATATATCCACAGTCTTACTTCAACCAACCTCTTACATGGTGTCTCATTACACAGTACTGCTGTAGCAGAAATACCACAGATGGATGGCTTTAAAGAACGAAAAATCACTTTCTCATAGCTCAGAAGGCTAGAAGTCCAAATTTAGCGTGTGGCTCTAGAGAGAGGTTCTTCTTTGCTTATTTCAGCTTCTAATAGTAGGAAATCCTTGGAGGTCTTGGACTTGCAGATTCATCTGTCTCTGTGCATGCCTCTAATCTACACTTTTTAGTAACTGAGAAGTGATTAGGGTTAGGACACACACCCCTATACTGATTGCCTCATAAATATCACAAAAAACAAAACATACAACTCCATTACTAAACAGGATTACATTCATAGATATAGGTGTTAGTATTCTGATAGATATTTTAACCAGTTGTCAATTCTAACTCATGACAACCCTCACTTCTTTCATGTATCATTTTGTTTCATACATCATCTTGTTGGAAAGAAACCTTTAAACAAACACCTTGTATAAACTAGGAATTACTTCCTTATCAGACTGAACAATCTTTCATTCCTGGCAAATTGACATCTCTAAAATGTCATAGGTTCATATCATCCCTTTATGCTAATAGCTGTGCAACATTGGGCTCTAAAAAGATAGAGAGACAGAGAGATAGACAGGCAGACAGACAGAAGATAAGGAGATGCTTAGACCTTATAGACTCACTCAGAATATCTGAAGATGAGATCTTGTGGCACCTGACTTTTAAAAATACAACCAAAGATGTACAGATGTGAGTCAACTCAGACTCATAGTGACCTCTCCTTGGGTTTCCGAGGCAGTATCACTACAGAAGTAGATTGCCCAATCTTTCTTCCAAGGAGTGGCTGGTGGGTTTGAACCACCAGCCTTCTAGTTAGCAATCAAATGCTTTAGCACTATGCCACCAACGCATCTACTTTAAAAGATCTAAGTTTATTAGGACAACTCATGATCTCCAAATGAAGAAAAGGGATTTTAAAAATATATATATTCATGGGCTCCTTTTCTTGTCTGACTTAATAGCCTGAGTTTGATAGAGACTGATTCCTTAAGAATATGGTTTCTTCCTCATCAGGTTTCTCCTATTAATTCCTACCATGTATCAAAGAGTCTTGACAGTTTCTCCATAACTGTTATTTAACTGATTTGATTAATTATTGTGTTAATTGGCAAAACTGTGATTTTTGGCATTTGGTAACATTTTCCCACATTGTTAGGAGATTTTTAATCATTTCATTGTAATGAGTAATAAAGTAATGATTATGGTTTATATTTGCCTTTCATATGACTAAATTGGGAGCTCTGGTAGCATAGTGGCTAAGGCACTTGACTGCTAACCAGAAGGCTGGCGGTTGAAACCCATCAGCCACTCCTCGGAAGGAAGGTTGGGCAATCCTACTTCCGTAGTGATACTGCCTCAGAAACTCAAGGAGGGGTCGCTATGAGTCAGGGCTGACTCGAGGGCACATAACAACAACAAACAACAACAACATGACTAAATTATTCTACTCAATTAATGTTTCCAAGCAATTTCATTAATTATGTGGGTAGATTCATGGAGAGATTTTTTTTTCCCCCACAGATATCTACACAGTGCAATAAAGGGATATGCTTTTTGTAGGGAAGTCAGAAGAACAGTAAATAATACAAAAATTACACAATTGCTAGAAAATATATCTTAGTATTTTTTTCCTTTAGTGTCAGATACAATGTATGAATACAGAAGATAACATAATTAGAAGTAGGGCCATACATATACAAGAAAGGGATGTAATAAAGCTCAGTCAGAGAAAACTATTTTTAAAAAATGGGCTCATTATTTCCTATGCCGGAGTATTGTATATTCAGTGTTTCTCTGATAATCTTTATGTGTCCCTTTGAAATTCAGAAACAGAAATTTTCTTTGAAGGTAACAAAAAGGGTTTACTTTTAGTATAAAAATTGTTTTTTAGGCAAAAGCAGTATTTCTGGAGACAAGAATATCTCCAACACCAAACATGTTGCTGTTGAATTGATTCCGACTCCTGGCTACCCCATGTTTTATAAAATAGAACTGCTCCACTGGTTTTTCTTGGCTATAATCTGTATGGAAGGAGATCGGCAGGCATGGGTTCAAACAGCCAACATTCAGATTAGCAGCCGATCACAAACCACTTGCACCACTATGAAGTTCAAAGTGTCTCAGGGACAGAATCAAGCTAGCAATGTGGAAAACCAAATTCCTTTCCCTCATTAAATGGTATTCATGGGCCTTTCTTAAATTTTCAATTTTTTTTTTTGTTATAATATATGGACATTAAAGAGGTAAAATATACAGAAAGATAAAAAGAAATAAGGTTTAAAACAGAGAGTTGTATGGGCCTAAACCTAAACAGGTCCAATTTGGAATTTGAATGTCTGTTTTCAAATTGCTTTATGTGCAACTGGTAAGAACTTGAATTCTGGGAACAATGTAGGATATTCTTGGCCTCTGAAGAACTTGAATATTTACACTCTCATAAGATCAAAATGGAGAATCTACAAATGGATTCATATAAATGAAAGGTTCATTCACATCTTCTGAGAACTAGCCAGATTTTAGGCAAAGACTTACTTCTATCACTATTTAAATCAAAGTTAAGAATTTAGCATTCCTTTTAAAAAGAAATGATTTTAGCTTTTCCTAATGCAACAAAATGGGGAGGGGCAAGCCAGCATTGGTGATTCAGTAGTAGAATTCTTTCCTTCTGTGAGGAGACCCTGGTTCAATTTCCCGGCGAGTACACCTCTTGCATAGCCACCACTCTTGTGGCAGTGGAAGCTTGCATGTTGCTGTGATGCTGAACAGATTTTGGCAGAGCTTCCAGACTAAGATGACTAGGAAGAAAGGTCTGGCAATCTAACTCCAATAATGAGCCAAAGAAAGAAAAGAAAACCTTATTAATCACAATGGTTAGGACTGCAACCAATCATGGGGATGGTGCATGACAGGGTAGTGTTTTGTTCTGTTATGCGTGAGGTAGCCATGAGTCCAAGACTGACTTGAGAGCAGCTAACAGCTACAAAACAAAGACTTTACATTCAGTGTTGTTGAGCTACATGATTCACATACCTGAATGACTGAGTTCTATTAAACTGTATAACAACACCTAAATATTTCATTCAAAATCAGTCAAAAAAGAATGACACTGATTTACATGTGGTGTAAACTGGTTACATTGCATTAGAATTATCTGTTTACATAACTTTGCACTTCTTGTCCTCAGTTAGATTTTAAACCCCTTGACTTTTGATAAATTTCCTAATTCATCTTTATTTTCCCAGCACAGTGGCTCCCATTGAGAAGTCTTGCAAAAAATATATGTCAAATTAATTAACCATAATTAACTATGTTTTTTTTTTTTTTCTGAAACTACAGATTCTGGAATTGTCTATCATTTGTTTCATTTCTTATGGTGTTTACATTCACTGGACTTCTAATTCCTGCACAAACGTATTTACATGTAACATTTTCTGATATATATTTTTCATTAAATATGTATTTCACACTGATGGTTTTAAGGTGAGAACACCGTTTGAATTTTTTTACTTATAGGAAATTGAATAAATCTGAAGATAATATTTTAAGTAATAAAAAGCTTTATATATTAGAATGAATAGTCAACTCTTTTTTTATGAGCTTTGTATTTTTTTAATTATATTTTATTTCTTTTTATTGTAATTTGGGTGACAGTTTACAGGGTAAATTGGTTTTCTATTCAACAATCCATACACATTCTGTTTTGTGACACTTACTGCAATCCCCACACTATACGCCATTCTTCCCACCTCCTCCCTGTGCCCACCCCTTCCCATCATCCTTCCTTCTCACCCTCTCCCTCCTTCCTTGCTCTATCGCTGGGCAAATGCTGTCCTCTTGATCTCATCTGCTTGATTTATGTAATGACTGCATACCTTCTTGATGTTGCTGTTTATTTATGGGTCTATCATTTGGCTGCCAGCTGAGTCACGGAGCTTAAGCTCAGTTCCTAGCTTGAAGGGTTTCTAAGGGCTATAGTCTCAAGGATTCCACTAGTCCTCTTCAGAGCAGTAGTCTGGTCTCTTATGATTTTGAATTTTGTTCCACATTTTCTCCTACTCTGTCTGGGGCTTTTATTGTGATCCCTTTCAGAGCTGTTAGTAATGATAGCCAGGTACCATCTGGTCTTCTGGTCTCAGGGTCATAGAGGTTAGGGTTCTCATGCTCCATTAGTCCTTTGGACTAATTCTTTCCTGGATCTTTGATTTTCTTCACTCCTTTTTTGCTCCGGGCAGGAAGAGACAAACAGCTACACCTTATATAGCCACTCACAAGCTTTTAAGACTCCAGTTACCACCAAAGTGGATGTAGAAAATTGTCTTTATGGACTGTGTTATGCCAATTGATCTTAATGTCCTCCAAGACTATGGTGCTGAGCTTCCATACCCAGTGTCTCATTCCTTCAAGGCATTTGGTTTTGACTAAGATGTTTTTGTAACTTTGTCCCCTGTATGCTCTACATACATGGATATATTGGTAGCACATATAAATACATAGGTAGAGATAGCCTCTGTCAAACTTGTATATAATCCCATTGCCTTCCCATCCCTGTTCAAAATGAGTGTCTATCTATGTATCCCCTTGTAAGTTACTGTTATTACTGTTATTGCAGGTTGTATATGTAATAGTATTCGTGTTTCTTGCCTTTAACTCTTGTGCTTCTTGTGTCTTCCATTGCCTTGATCGTTTTGTGCTGACCTCCCCCTTATGGTGTAATGCCTTTCCCTTCACCCAAGTTAACATGGTTCTACCTTCTAGCTGGTAATTTTCCCTCAGTTTCCCTTCCACCCCTGGGCACCTTCAAAGAAAAATTCTTTCTGTGTGTAAACTTCCTCTTAACTTTTTACAATAGTTGTTTCCATATTTTTGCTATTGGGAATAAAGATGTTATGAACATGGGTTTCATATATCTGTTCATTTCACAGCTCTTATATCTCTAGTATATATTCCTAGTAGTGGGATTGCTGGATCATATAGTATTTCTATTTCCAACTTCTTAGGGAAGCACCATACCGCTTTCCACAGTGGTTACACCATTTTACAGCCCCACCTACAGTGTCTGAGGGTTCCAGTTTCTCCATACTCTTGCCAGCATTTGCCTTCTATTTTTATGAACTTTGCTACTAATGCTGGGGTGAGAGGATATCTCATTGTTGTTTCGACTTGCATCTCTCTAATGGCTAATGATCGTGAGCATTTCTTCATGTGTTTGTTTGTCTGAATGAGAACAAGCAGTCAACTCTTAAACTTTGCAAAGAATCATCAGGAAATTAGTCTTTTTTCAGTTTTAAGCCACATTTCAGGAAGCATAACCACCTTGTAATATTTTTGAGAATTAAAAAGAAGAAAAATAAATATTTCATAATCTTATTATCCAGAAGCAACCACTATTGGCACTTTACATACTTCATCCATTTTTTTTTTCCTGTGAGCTTTATGAAGTCAAACATCCATCATAAATTTTTAAAAATTATCTTGTTTTGGTTGGTTAATATTATGTAAGAAACAATTTCCTAATAATTAAAAATTAGAGTTTTAAATAACATTTAGAAAAAAGTAAGAAAGTGCCTTTTTATGTTTTCTTGCTCAATGTTTGTAGTCCCTTTTTCCAATTTTAAGAGGCATAAAAATGTCATAAAGGAGAATAAACCACCATAATGGGAGTCTCATATTTAATTTCTATTACTCACATTGCTAACATTCTATTTGCTATCTAGGAAAATTAGTTGATAATTGACATCAAGTTTGCTAATGCCAAGAAGTTGAACATTAGTCCCAAAATACCAGATGCATTTAATGTAGATTATAGAAATGATATGTTACTGAAAAGAGAAATATAAATGAATTGACCAATATTGGCCAGATTCAGCAATATTAAGCTCTTTGGTGGGGGGAAGAGGTGATATTTTCTTCTCATTTTTATTCATTAGATTTTCTTTTATTCCTTTTTGGGATCCAGAATATATCCACAAACTGTCTCTGGTAGGTTTTTTTTTTTTTTTTTCCTTTTGAAGAATGATGTGAAATCACCCTACAATTCCCTTAGGAGAAAGAAATTGGGAGAACAGTGGTATTCTTATAATTCTGTGGAATGTCCCTGCCTTTCTATGTTGCTATGACAATCATGTGTGAAAAATGGCACATTTGTCTGAAAGTTGGAAATTTCACAGGGAATGGATAAGAATAGAGTGAAATAAAATGAAAATAAACTCCTATGACAAGAATAACTTTTAAAAAATTATTTTCTCTTTTAGACTTCTGGTCATTCTATTGATGAGCCCTCTTTTATCTCGACTTGGCCATGGGTTCAGCTGGCGTTGGGCATTCATAATGGCCTTGAGTGAAATGAGAGGGATCCCTAATATAAACATGGCAGTTCTACTTGCCTACGACTCTTCCGTTGGAAGTGAGAAGGAAAAATCTCAAGTAAAGAACTTTGTATTTTTTTTTATAGATTATAAAGCTGTTGATATGTGCTAAAATAACAATATTTCAATAAATAAATTCCAATAATTTATTTCAATAGATTTCAGTAGTGAGTTATCTCAAATCCACCGGGACTGCTGGAATGATTTAGCTTTGATGGGAAGACCGAGGAAATGAGAAACAACTGGCAATTATCTTCCTCCCCATTACTAGTATTCAAATTCCTCTTCAAACATGAACATCTATTAACATAGGACAACCTAGATTAATTTGTATATGAAATTGTCATAGACACTTACTTTGTATTATATTTTTCATTCTAGATGTTATTTCATGGAGTGTCTGTATGTTTTATTACCTTGATTTGCAATAAATTTATTTTGCCACTGGCAGTTGCTAAACTAGGTAAGCTCTGCTAATTTGTATTGTGAATGAAGGGAAACTATTGTAGATATGCTAAAGAAATACTAATGATGAATAATCCATACAAATATAAGTCAATGCTGCTTAATTAGAGAGAAATAGAACCTATAATTAAAATACATTAATGGCTTAGACCAATAGGCTTGCCTATGTAAAAAGGATGATTTGCATTAGTCCAGTTTAACTAAAATAATAGTATGAGTTTATTTATTTATTTATTTATTCACCAAACTTTTATTAAGAGCTTACTATATGCTGATAATGAATGATGAAGCTTACATTAGAATGAGGAAAAAAAGGCAATAAGCAAGTCATATAAGATGATATCAGAGAGTCCCATGGACATTGATGAAAACAAACCACAAATTGACATAAAACAGAGAACACAACAGGTGCTCAGTTGTTGAGGAAGACAGAAGAAAAGGAATATATTTAAAGAACCAAAGGAGGTTTGAGGAGTTGACACCTTAGAGAATAATAAGGACAGTGAAGGAAGATCAGATGGAAAAGGTAAAATGGAGTTACATACAAAAAACCTTGAAGGTCATAGTAAGAAGTTATGGTTTTATTCCAAGGGAAAAAGTAATTCATTGATTGGTTTTAAGCAATTAAGTGTCATTATATGAATAAGGTCTTAAAAGGACTGCTCTAGTAACAATCTGCTATATGCAGATAACACAACCTTGCTTACTGAAAGTGAAGATGTCTTGAAGCACTTACTGATGAAGATCAAAAACTACAGTCTTCAGTATGGTTTACACCTCAACAAATGGACCAATAAGTCCTCACAAATGGATCAATAAGCAGCATCATGATAAATAGAGAAAAGATTCTTACTGTGGATCATCTGTTTCCTTGCACTGATGTCAGTGAGCATCTGCTCTTGGAACATTATTGCTTTCACAGGAGCTTCTATGGCACATACAAAAAAAGGAATTTGTGTCTGTTAGTAAAAGTCCTTCACACCTTAATGAGGTGCTATGCTTTGTTTAATCAGCATAGAACTGTCTCCTGTTCACTCTGTGCAAGTCACTTTACATTCCATGAATTTCAGAGTTGATAAAATGTTGTGTTGGTAGGTGAGTTAATCATTTAGCATAATAGTAGAAAGCACACCATTTGGAGCTGGGCCTCTAATTAGCCAGATGTGTGACCCTGAGCAATTTACTGAACTCTTCAGTGGCTCTATTTCCTCATCGGTCAAATTGAGAAAAAAGACTGGCCACAAAAGGCAAAAACACATTGCTAAAGGGGCAGGGAGGCCATATCTTCTGACCTCCTCTAACCCCACAAGAGGAGAACAGAATCATCATCAGTAGCCCAAGGCCTATTCCTGTGAGGCCAGACATGCTGCCTCCCTCCAGGCCTTTCACCAACCCTAAAACGAACTGTTCCTCCCGCAGCACCCACCACCTCTCTGCTGGGTTCAGTAATTTGCTGAAGTGGCCACACAGACCTCACAGATTATGGGGTTTATTAGAGAAGCACCAGGCTACAATTCAAGTTCAGGAAAAATGCTCAGTCTCGCTCAGCCAGCTGGCTCTCAGCCAACAGTCTCTCTCAGCTACTCTCCCAGTAATGCATGTCTCTTGGTGTCTCTCTCAGCAATGCATGTCTCTCAGTGTTTCTTTGTCAGCAGCACATGTCTCTCAGGAGTGTGTTTCTCTCAGCAGCACATCTTTCTCCACCAGCAGTCAGAGAGACTTCTTCTGCCTCTAGGAGGCCTCCTTTTGAGCCTGGCAGAGTGGCCAAACTAACCAATCATGACATCAGAATTCTAAGCACCTGAGAGAGAGTGAACTTCCCAGAAAATTACTTTGTGCTTCTCCCAACAGAAATACCCCAGGTGGATAACTAACAATCAGGGACTACTTGGTTGCTCATGTTCAATTCCACCACAGAGTTTACAAAGACTTATGGCCAGAAAAGCCATACCAAATTTACTACACTGCACACATGCAAAGTGCTGAGATTTTGTATCTAGCTTGTAGTAAGTACTCAATAAATATGAGCTATTATTTTTATGATAATGACAATGATGATTTATCTTAGCTTTTATGAAAAAAGATGTGAAACTAGAAAAGGTTGAAATTTTTAGTGTTTTAATTATGATCAGACAAGTTATACTGGGTCTTTATTTAATTTTTTAGTGTTGAGTGGCAGTATGTGAAGATAAGAATAAAAGCAAGCATTGTAATCCATATCAAAGAGTTGGTTTCCCTGATATTTATAATATTTGTTCTCTGTGTCAAAGGTCTTCATGATGTCTCATCAACAAAATATAAATCACTTTATCATACATATAAACAATTTCAAGAGCTAACCAAATCTATAGCCTCTACACTCAAATTTGACAGAGATCTTGCTAATGCTGATTGGAGCATTGTTGAGAAAGCAATTATGTTTCAAAACCCATATGCGGTAAGCAAATTTTTTTTTGTTTATTCCTTCAAAGTAGGTATGATTGGTCTAAATAAAGTTAACTCATGCCACAAATATTAATTTATGATTTTTAATGAATTGTGTATTGTATTGAATCATGTTGTATTGGTAACTCCTTTATTTGTCATAATAGTAAGAAAGAGACCTTTAATTATCAATCAATAACATATATGTATTGTTTTCCTACTATTCAAAAGGAATTTGGTGATGACTGTGGGGCAATGTAAAAGTCACAACCCCTTTGAGTATATAGACAATAAATTGTGTAAATTTTTTTAAAAGAGTGTATTGTTGTTGTTGTTATTTGCTGTCGAGTCGCCCCCGACTCATAGCGACCCCTCCTTGGGTTTCCGAGGCAGTATCACTACGGAAGTAGGATTGCCCAACCTTCCTTCCGAGGAGTGGCTGGTGGGTTTGAACCGCTAGCCTTCTGGTTAGCAGTCAAGTGCCTTAGGCACTATGCTACCAGAGCTCCTAAAAGAGTGTATTAGAGATGCCTATATTAGGAGCTCTGGTAGTGTAGTGGCTAAGGCACTTGACTGCTAAACAGAAGGCTAGTGGTTCAAACCCACCAGCCACTCCTTGGAAGGAAAGTTGGGCGACCTACTTCTGTAGTGATACTGCCTCAGAAACTCAAGGAGGGGTCGCTATGAGTCGGGTCCGACTCGATGGCAAACAACCACAACATATTAATGCCTTATAAAATGGCTACTTTAAAAAAAAAAAAAAAAAAGCAGGTTTAGGGTGGGGTAACCTTTATTCATTCATTTATTTAGCATTTATTTGGGTTACTGTATGTGCCAAACAATTACTAGACCCTGTTGTTGTTGTTATTTGCCATCAAGTCACACCCGACTCATAGTGACCCCTTCTTGAGTGTCCAAGGTGGTATCACTATGGAAGTAGATTGCCCAACCTGTCTTCTGAGGAGTGGTTGGTGGGTTTGAACCACCAGCCTTCTGGTTAGCAGTCAAGTGCCTTAGGCATTATGCTACCAGAGCTCCTTACTAGACCCTGTTGTTGTTGTTGTTGTTTGCTGTCGAGTCGGCCCGACTCATAGCGACCCCTCCTTGGGTTTCCGAGGCAGTATCACTACGGAAGTAGGATTGCCCAACCTTCTTTCCGAGGTTGTGTTTAAAATTATTATTAGGTCTTTGTGCATTTGTGTGCATGTGTGTTTGTGTGTGTTTGTGGGATAGAATTCAAAGCCAGTACCATATGTTTAGCTGTGGGTGAGATGTCAACTTCTGCTTCTGATTATGTGCTTTAGAGTCTCTGTGGCCAGACTTTTTATTCATTCAAGAGCACTCAGTTAGTTGTGGTTTCCATAAAGGGAAATAGCACAAATTGTCCTGGATCTTCTCAGTGCTACTGCTGCTTTGCCATCTGCAATGCTTTCCTCCGTCACACAATATTGAGGACTCAACGTTTCGGATTGTAGAGGTTACATAATTAGCATCTATGGAATAAGATTTCCCAAAACCCATTTCATATACACTACACAATGCGTGAAGCTCCAATAAAGGACTCAGAATTAACCCCTGCACCTTCAGGAATACTGCAAGGATTTCTGTATGGAGCATTAGTAGGCCAAACCCAAGAATTTTCTCTAGTAGCTCCCAATACCTGATTGTAGCCTTTTTGCTGATCAGGCTGCATCAGAATCATGTGGAAAACTTGTTAAAAATATTAACTTCTCAACCTTACCCTGGAGATTTGATGCATATGGTCTGGGGGGGGGGAGCGGATATGTTATTGTAACCTGCTACCCAGTTAATTCCAGTCCAGTTGAATCAAGATTGAGGACCACCACTCTGATACTTGATCAGTTTCAGAAGATAAATGATTAAACCCTAGCATTCCCCTCATAAGAGGACATGAAGGATATTATAATATTAAAGATAGAACACTGGTCTAGCACTCAGAAAACCTGGGTTTATATCCTGGCTTTGACACTTAATAAATAGCTTTGTGATCCTGAACAAATCATTCATCCTTTCTGAGCTTTAGATTTCCTCATTTATAAAATGATGTTATCCGTATTCCCATTTTATTATGTGTCCATTTTCTATCTACATTAAATGACAAGTTTCAAGCAGTAGTTCTCTTAGTTTGGCAGGATCAGAATCATTTAATGAGTTTCAAAAAATGTAGATTGTTGGGTTCTAGCCCCTAGAGTTTCTGATTCAGCAGGTCTAGGGTGTCCCTGGGTAGTGCAATGGTTAAGTGCTCAACTACCAGCTGAAAAGATGGTGGTTTGAACTCACCCAGAGATGTCTTAGAAGACAGGCCTAGTGATCTGCTTTTGAAAGGTCACAGCCTTGAAAACCCTATGAAGTAGTTCTACTCTGTACACATAGGGTCCCCATAAGTTGAAATCAGCTGCAACCAACAGCAAGAGCCAGGTAGAGCCTAACAATTCACAGATGATGCTGAATGCTTGGAGGGAAGGGATGTGCGCAGTAAGAACCACTTATTTAAAGTATGATCATATAAATAGCTTTTGTAAATTCCTAATAATGACATATAAAAGTAAGAATATAATATAATCTTTACAGAAAAAAAATTTGGCAAATATTTTACCTTCAGCATAAACTGAGCAAATGATGGGAAAACTCATCTAATTATGTTTATATACCTACCAGATTTTTTATCATTTTTCAAACCAAATTGCTTTGCCAGTTGCTTGGTCTATGCTAATAATATGTTAATGGTATTTTTTTTTTTTTTTTTAATTGTGTTTTTCTTAGGCAAGTCAAGAAGAAACAACAGGCCATCAGATGGTGAAGTGTCCAGACTGTAACAAGGAAATAGATGAGACCCATAACATTGAAGCAATGGAGCTGGCCGACAGACGTCTTTTGTCAGCACAAATAGTTAATATTTTATTATACTCTTTTAAAATTATTTCTTTGGCCTCAAATTATACTGAAAGATTTCTCTCTTGAAGACATTTTGATTATGCACACTGGCAAAATTTAGTAGATGATTTACAAATTTTGGGCAATGTACTTCTGTAGTGACACCACCTCAGAAACCCAAGGAGGGGTTGCTATGAGTAAGATCCGACTCCACAGCACATAACAACAACAACAACAAGAAGGGAAGTCATAGGAATCTTCTTGGTTGTAAATAAAAAAAGAGAGGAAAGCAAAACAACGCAAATTAGCTTAAGTAAAAGGTGTTTTTGTTTGGTTGTTGTTTGTTTTTTTAATAGGATTGGGAATTTCACAGATCCCAATAGCAGGAATTATAACTGCTTATCATTAAATCTGGTTAGGCATTCAGTTCTATTATACTGCCTATCACCGGATAGTAATGGTAATAGAAAGTGATAGTAATAGAAAGTGCTGCCAGTTTTTCATGGAAAGATATCACTGAGTTCTTTAACTATTACATGTAGAGGGTAGTATGTTTTCATATCAAAGCTTGGATAAAAATTTTAGGGAAAATTTTTAACATAGTAGCATATGGGACTCTGTGGTAAATTGCTATTAATCTAGTTAGCATTTTCTGTTTAGGTCAGGGTCCTAGCTAACTGCCATGACTCATCCAGCAACCTCTATAAATGTTCATGTTGGGTCTTCCCCACTGCACACGGAGCTATATATATATATATAATTCATTGTTCAGCAATTTCAACCACACAGAATTCCAGCACTCTACTTGCTCAGTCTAAATTGGGAAATGGGAGGTCTATATTGTATAATTGTTCCCTCTTTGGTAGTAATCTTGAAAGATGTTCTGGTTACCTAGTGCTGCTCTGACAAGAATATACCACAAATGGGATGGCCTTAACAAACAGAAGTTTATTCTTACAATTTGGAGGCTTTTAAGTCTAAGTTCAAAGTGCCAGGCTCTGGGGGCTGGGTGAAAGCCCTCAACCTTGGGTTGCAGCTCTGCCTTCTGCCCCCGACCCACTGAAGATGGAGGCTTTTCTTCACTCAGGCAGCTGCTGGCTGCTGAGGCTAACAGACCCAAGGTTGACGAGTAAAAAGACACAGTCCCGATGTTACCAAACCACATGGCAGGCCATTAGTTCAAGTCCATAGTAAGTCCCAAGGTTGGCAGAGCATGGCAGGCTGCTGAACAATGACATGGCTACATGCAGGGTCCAAGCATGCCATAAGCTAGAGACCATTTCCCAAGCCTCTGCTTATATACAGGGAGCAAATCACATTCCTAAGGCAGCTACTCAGCTGCTCCCAGTAGATTCCACCATGGAGTTGATTACCAGTCTCATCATGGGGAATACTACATCCAGCTGCCCAGCCATTCAACCAGGCCCAGCCAAGTTGACACACAAACTGAACTACCACAACAGACAAGATGAGTCTCAAAGGTAGCTTTGCCAAGGACCTGAATAATTCCTTTAATGATTGAGGCAATCCCAAGAAAGAGGAAGTTTATGCCATAAGGTGCTTTGTTCCACAAGCAGGTTTCTCACCTGTTCTACCAACTTTAATGTTTCTCTTTATTTATTTATTTATTTGTTTTTATTTTAAGAGCTTGTTTTACATTCAAAGTTATGTGTACATTTAGTTTCACTCCTCATTTACCATGCCCAACCCTAACCCAGTCTCCTCCCTTCCCTCTGTAACCCTCCCCTTGTGCCCTTCATATTTATGCACTGCTCTTTGTCCTACATTTCTTCAATTTGAATGTTGGTCCTCTGGTGCCCTGTGATCTATTGCTCTAAGGGATGTATTACCATAGAGTATGTGGGTGCATCACCCTGGGTTGAGTGGTCTGCGTGTAAATCTTGTTAACTATTGGGCTGAGACCCAGCCCCTGGGGGTGAGTTTTATTCCAGGCACAGAATATATTCCAGGGCCATAGTATTGGGGGTCTCACCAGATTTCATCTGACCAGTAATTCTGGTCATTATTGAGTTTTTGGATTTTGTTCCACGTTTTCCCTCCCACTCTATCCAGGATCTCCAGATTTGATCCTTTCCTGAGT